CCATTCAGAAGTATAAAATATATGATATGATGAGTTCCTGGCTTTGTACACTGATTACCTGCTAACAGGTCTTGCTAATATCAGGGTGGAATTAACTGAAAAAAGCATGTGTGAGATGAATTTTTTATTTAAGTAAACCCTTCAGATTTTGGTCATATGTTCCTAGAGCACACACTGTCTGTGATAGCTTATTAAAAATTCCTATTCTTGATGTTAAAAGAGTTTTATTCATTTTACTTAATTATCAGCAAGCAAATGTACCTACTCGATAATTCATGTTGCAGTTTTCTCAGTAAACAGAGTGCCTTTTGAGATAGGCTGTCATCTTAACTTTTAAAAATTGCATCTGATCCAATAAACCAAATTATATAATAATAAAACATGCCATCAATGTAAACAAATACCAGATGGGTTGTAAAATATTTAATTTTAGATTAGTGCAAATAGACTGAGATAAACACTGCTGTGGCATATTGTCAGTCACTACTAAAGCTCAAAAAAGTATTCCCACTGGGTGGCCATATCCTTGAGGACTCCACCTTTGCATTTATTTTTTCTTTTTTTAAGTCTTGCTGTGCTTCTGCCTATTTGCTCCACACTATTGCACTTTCAGACACGGTGTGCTGGCCTGGCTGCATTTCAAAGCATGACAAGGCAAGCCAGGAGGGGTTTTGCTGACAAAAAACTTTACGGCATTCCCAGGGAAATTGCTTGAGCCCACCAAGGCATGGGGGCTACTGAGGCAGGACGTCTATCTATCTTCTGTGTTTTGGGCAGTGGGCTTCTCTCTGGCATTCTTTTCCCACCTCGGGGGCATCGCTGCTGTAAGCTATACCAAAGAGAGACAGCTTCCTCCAGAATGAGGGTAAATAAGGACAGCCGGTGCTTTTTGTTCTTAAGATGGTAATGCACTCACTACAAGACTCTCTCAGTTGCAGTCCATTCTCGATTGAGTTTGAAGTGTCTGCACGATTAAATTGCAAGACTAGGGTTTTTTCCACAGAATTAAAATGCAGAGGCTAATATTATGCACTGAACTTTAAGATATATCTGCCAGCCCTTCCAGAGCAAAGTTTTCCAGTTGATGTGTAATTACATATCTAATGTACATATGCATCTGTATTCTGAATTAAGTGAAACATATAATAGTAAATAAATTTAAAATAGTACATCTATTTTAGCATTGCGTCAAAAGGAGTAGTTCTAACTGTTGTATTTAGGGGAAATCCACATTTTAGTTATCTTAACCTGTTTTTCTATACACTCCTCCCAAATCTATGATTTGTAAATCCCTGGAAATAGCTTTGGACATTTTAATCCTCCTTGAAGCCTGAGGCTTAGTGGTAGAAAATTTAGGGGCAGGTTCTATGAAAATCGTAAACTTCAGATGACCTGTATATTCCAGGAGGGGTCGCAACCAAATCTTAACAAGAGAGTCTGTTATCCCCGATATTCAGAATGTACGTGCATATCACACGCTTTGAAAGCATTTTTTAAATACTTTGAGTAACCTAAGTACATATTTTTAAACCATTCAATGCATGAAGATTTTCATCACGTGATTCACAAGTACTATAGCTCAATTATGAGCGCTGATAACTTACTCTTCATTATAATACAACCTTAAAATGTAGGTTGTATCATGTGAAAAGAAACACTTTGTCTCCTTCAGATTATAATGTTGTTTTTTTCATAGAGAGAAAATGTATGCAGGATTGTTTGGCTAAGACAAGTTTGTTTGCTTTCTTGTGATTGGTAACACTGTTTTTTTAATAGGCAGAAAGACTATCAGCTCATGGGTAGATCAACTGGGATGCCAAGTCTGAGACATCCGAGAGTCTCTTAATCACAGAAAGTACCAATTTTTGCTGCCTGTTAGGGTAGAAGTTCATTGTGTAAATACTGAAATGGAGTAGAGTGAATTTATGCGTGAGTGTGTGCTTAAGGTATTGAAAAATACAGCCAATCTGTTTAGGTGAAATTTTGACTGAAGTGTACTTTATGTAAAAAAAATCAACTGAAAAGCTGATTTCTTTTTTGGTCAAAAGTGGTTTTTCTGAAGTTATCAGAAAAGAATTGGCTTTAGATCTGGAGACTGTTGTTCATTTTCTCTGTGAAACTTCTGAGACCCTGAGATAACATTTCTGACATTTCAATATATTCATCAATGACCTGGAGGAAGGGACAGAGTGCACCCTCAGCAAGTTTGCTGATGATACTAAACTGGGGGGAGAGGCTAACACACCAGAAGACTGTGCTGCCATTCAGAGGGACCTGGACAGGCTGGAGAGGTGGGCGGAGAGGAACCTCATGAAGTTCAACAGGGGCAAGTGCAAGGTCCTGCACCTGGGGAGGAATAACCCCATGCACCAGTACAGGCTGGGGGCTGACCTGCTGGAAAGTAGCTCTGCAGAGAAGGGCCTGGGAGCGCTGGTGGACAACAAGTTAAACATGAGCCAGCAGTGTGCCCTTGTGGCCAAGAAGGCCAATGGTATGCTGGGCTGCATCAGGCAGAGTGTTGCCAGCAGGTGGAAGGAGGTGATCCTGCCCCTCTACTCAGCCCTGGTGAGGCCTCACCTGGAGTACTGTGTCCAGTTCTGGGCTCCCCAGTACAAGAGAGACATGGCACTCCTGGAGAGAGTCCAGCGGAGGGCTGCCAAGATGATTAGAGGGCTGGAGCACCTCTCCTATGAAGAAAGACTGCAAGAGCTGGGCCTGTTCAGCCTGGAGAAGAGAAGACTGAGAGGGGATCTCATCAACGTGTACAAGTATCTGAAGGGTGAGTGTCAAGAGGATGAGGCCAGCCTCTTCCCCGTGGTGCCCAGCGAGAGGACAAGAGGCAATGGGCAGAAACTGAACCACAGGCAGTTCCATCTGAACCTGAGAAAAAACTTCTTTGCTGTGAGGGTGACAGAGCATTGGACCAGGTTGCCCAGAGAGGTGGTGGAGTCTCCTTTGCTGGAGATGTTCAAAACCCGTCTGGATGTGATCCTGTGCAACGTGCTGTAGGTGACCCTGCTTGAGCAGGGAGGTTGGACTAGATGATCTCCAGAGGTACCTTCCAACCTAAACGATTCTGTGATTCTGTGACAATACAGAGTTTTTAAGTATGTATTGTAAAGTGTATTTACTAAAGTAGATATAACAAGCTTTGCAGAAAGTATGAGCTCCCATTGTCTCTTTCATATGAAACATGATAAAATCAAACTTTATCCACAGAGACAGTACATGTATTTACCAGTGGCATACAATTATACTTAATCTTGATTGCATTACAAAAGTTTACTTTCTAGAGTTCCACTTCTGGATATGTATTAAGTTTGTGTAGCAGAGAGCCAACACCTTATTTACAAAAGTACATTTTCTTGATTTGTTCTTCTGGGAATGAATTTTAATAAGAAAAACACCTGTCTTGTTATCTGACAGCTGTTGACAGCATCAAAATCACTGAGTGACTAAGATGACAAGCTGTCCCTACATTTCAGGTTTTTACTGATGTCTTTGGTATATAAGAAACTCGTATTGAGTGATATTTAACAAGGACTCATTCTGTTTGTCAGTTCTGTGACATGATCTATATGAAGGAGGAATAATGTCCCCGTGTCAGCTGAAGATGAGAAGATTGCATTAGATATTAGCAGTCTTAATAGTATGAACCTTGTCTGTAGAGAGGCAGACAAATCAACTGGCATTTTTTTCATCACACTGCGAGATGGGGATTAGGCAAGTTTATGTAAAAATTCATGCACTGTTACTCAGTAACTGATGGTTGAGATTTAGAAAGAAATTTTTGTGTGAAGAATTACAGCTTTTTTTCCTTAGATCAAGTGAATTACTACAGATTTATTACTGTAGTGTTTAACTACTGTGGCTTTACAACTGTGCAATATTGAATGGAAGATTATTAAAAGCACTATGAAGACATCGTTTCAGTGTGGAATTTACCTTTCATGTATTCAAAAGCTATTGGATATTCATCATTTTGTTTCAGTGAAGTACCTGCAATATTCTCCAAGAGGCTCAAATGGCTCCTTCAGATGTGGACCAATGATGCACTCTTTAGCAGATGGTTAAAGTATACGGAAACAATATGTCTTTTTGTGATGTATGCCTTGTTTTATAAAACATTTCAATAAGATGATCTCAGCAGAAAATGCTTCTTTATACTGCCCTGCGTTAAGCTGTTTTCCAGGACAGGTTGACAGTAAACTCTCTGACTCCAAGCACTTTGTACAGCTGAGTCTGAAACACAAATTCTGCTATGGCACATTCATATGCTTAACTTGAAGAACAAGAAAAAAAAATCCCCTTAATCTTTTCAGCCTTAGGAGTTTTACAGCCACCCAAAACAAACGTTAGCCCCTGAAAATTTAGAGTTCTTTGAAAGACTCGAGTTAGTTTTCAATCACAATACTCGAATCCAGATTTGTAATTTTCACTTTGATGCTCAGATGAAAGGCAGACCAACCCTCAGAAGAAAAATCATTGTCCTGGTTTTATAATCAGGCAAACAATCACAGAAATACTAGCTTTTGTTTAATTTTTCTCATGCCCCCATGGAGACTCTTTGACAGAAGCAGCAAAACCAAATTGTTTCTCTGACTCCTTACTTATACATGAACATATGCTCTGGGTGGGTCTCAAATCACATGCATTTGATTTTTCAGTTATGTTTATTGTTATACAGGAAACCATAGTAGTGAAGACATGTCATGAAGAAAACAGTGTGGTAGGGAATTAGAAAAATAATACTTTTTAAAATAATATTTTTTTAACTGTTGCTTAATCACTATGGTGACTGACTTATTTGCATTTTAATGTATTCTCTTTGTTTACCTACAGTTGCCTCATTGTTTCCTGTTGCCAAATGCTTAGTTAATATTTTTTTTTTGCATTTTAAGGAATTATGAGTGGATTATGAGCATTATATGATTTTGTATTTTTCCATTTTTATTAATGTGAGGATTTTTATTAATGTGAGGATTTTTTTTTTCCTCTAGAAAGGTTCTGAAGGAAATCTCTGTTGGAAATCTAAAACCAAATGAAACAGTTGAAGCAAATCTAGAGGCACAACTGCTCTCCAAATTAGACCATCCAGCCATTGTCAAATTTTATGCAAGCTTTGTGGAGCAAGATAGTTTCTGCATTATCACTGAATATTGTGAGGTGAGACTTGTATATTGCTTTGAAGGAATTTGACAGAACGTGTATGCTAAAACAGGGTTTTAACAGAAACCTAGATCAGATGTTTAATGTATTAGTTTGAATTTTATTCTTAACTTATTTATTACTTGTGATATCACCTGTTATTGTTAGCCATATTTCAAATAAGCAATATTACTTACTTGAGTGAGCAAATCAGAGAAGGAGAAACAGGTAATAATAAATGCAAATTCATTTAATTCACTATTGTCAATATTAAAAGAAAGACTAAATGCAGACACATTACCACATCTGTGGATTAATTCAGAAAGTCTGTACCACATATGTACAACTGTTCCGTCTGAACATGAGGAAAAACTTCTTTCCTATGAGGGTGACTGAGCACTGGACCAGGTTGCCCAGAGAGATTGTGGAGTCTCCTTCCTTGGAGATATTCAAAAGCTGTTTGGACACAATCCTGTGCACTGTGCTGTAGGTGACCCTGCTTGAGCAGGGGTGTTGGACTAGATGATCTCCAGAGGTCCTTTCCAACCTCAGCCATTCTTTGATTCTGTGAAATAAGAGAGGATGAAATTGGGAGTATGGGGGCACTGTGTGAAACTTGGTGTAAATGAGGAAGGGAAAACTCTCTTGTTCTTGGAGGTAATTACAAGAAGCTGAAGCCTGATCATATGGACGATGAGTTTGCTAACAGCCTTGGCTTTGTTAGCAGAAGTGGAGAATGCCATATGACTCAAAGATCAGACTGTAGAGGATGTAAAAAATATTAAAGCTATAGTATAGTTACCAGATTTTGAACTACAACGTTTGATTAAAAAAATATTGATGAAATCTCTCTGAAGGCTTTAGAATAAAAATTTAAACATATTTAAGCCAACTTTTTAAGAGTTTACATAAAATAAAGGCCTATTTTTGAGTTAAATATAGATATGCTGTTTTAAAAAAAATCTATTATACATGCAATGATCTTCTCATGAAACTGTGAAGCAGACTTCAGTTGTGCTCTGCTGTAGATTTGAAACACTTTGAACGCTAATAACCTGGAACTTGTGGGTTACCTGCCCATCACAGATCTTGTATGAGCTAATCACATTACTTTAAGCATTCACCTTTGGTGTGAGTAAATAATGGAGTATAATTCCTACCAGTCAGTTCCTCCTTAGAAGCCTACTTTGGTGACAGCTAAATGCACATTTATGGCTGGGATTTTTTTTTTTTTTTAGATGTTAGATTTTTTTGTGCAATGTGAACATTTGTCAATATATGATTTTAACACCCTTGCAGAAGCTCTTTGCATCTTTCTCTGAATGTTTGACAGCAAGGGCTTGATGGAAACTTAATACTCTCTGTGGATGCCTAAAGTTTAGAACTGAAGTATTATCCTAATAGCCCAGATTCTTTTCAATAAGACTCATTTTCCTGTAGCAGTGGTAGAAGAAGACCAGTTGGTCTTATAGGCATAAAGGAGCCCTCTTTCAGCTTTATTGTAGAGTCTCACTAGTGGCTTTCGTCCACAGGTCTTACCCTCCTCCTCCCAATCTGGAATAAAGGGATTGACAAAGAAAAAAGGGTGTGATAAGGCCTTTCTTGCACTGTGGTAGTCACAAGCTGCTGTAACACCCCTTGAAGCCTCTTTTAATCAGGGCAACATAAACTATCCTTCATGAAAACGCAGAAAACGCATGAAACTTCAGAGCGCAGCCAACAGAGGCAGCGAACAGACGCAGCAGTTTGCGCAGCAGTGTCTGGGCTCTGCCTGGGCCTTTCTTGGAAGTTGTGGAGACTTTCTGGGGACCCCCGAGGAACTAGACAGTGCTTGCTGCTAGCAGGAAGGGAGAGCTAGGCAAGGACTCCTGCAGGGGACCTTGACTTAACTTCTCCTGGGAAGTTCTAGCTAGGTGGGGCTGCTGCTAACAAGCTCTCTGGGCTGCCCTGGTCAGAGGGAGTTGGGGCTTTTGTTTCAGGTGGCTCCTGATTGGGTGGGTCAAGCACCCTTGTGAGTCACTGCTAGGCAGAGGCCTATATAAGAGCCAGGCCTAGAGCCCAGCTCCCAGAGTGCAGCCAACAGACGCAGCAGTTTGGGCAGCAGGCAAAGAAGGTGCCTCTCCCTTTTCTGCAGTGGTGTGTCCTTCCCTGGGGCATGGTCATGACATGCTGCAGAGCACATTCCCCAGTGGCTGCTGGAGGTGCTGCATCAGCTCTGTCTGAGGCTTCAACCCAGACAGACCCTCTGACAGCAGATGCAGCTCTGC